TCTTCTTCAATAGAAAATGTTCTTAAAGAGTAGACGCTACCCCATTAGCAGATGCTGGTTTCCATAGGGCACGCGTGAGACCTGTCATCATATATAAAAGAAACTTCTGCAACTATACACAACACACAATTACAATAACACACACAAAATGGCAGTGTGGCACAATTAATATAGAGTTGGACTGTTTATTGATTTAAACCATTTTGGAAAGGATTGGTCAATGGAGCCTGTCTAACATCACCCGCAAATTCATTCCATAACTTAGCCACGCTGTATTTGAGCATTTTTAGAACAACTAGTACTTGAACAATTTCCTTTTGTACATAGAAATGATAGATTTATGTTACTAGGATAACACTTCATTAATTTAACACCGCGCTATATAAATCAATCAATATAAAATGGACAACTTGCATGTTAGGATAAATTTTAATCTAAGTAAAGAGCTAATCACACACGACAGCTAAAAGAACATAATGAAATTAGTAAAATTGCAAAATTTGCAATTGGTTGCGAAATGTGGTAAAGGTTGGAAAATTCATTCTTGGAAACTTAGAAAATTTTGTATATGTTTGTATTACGTACGGAAATTGTTACCATTTTCAGCTCAAAAAGTTAAAAAAAGCAAGGTTTTAAAAAAGTTTAAAAAAAGTTTAAAAAGCTAAAAAAAGTTTGATTAGGGTTTGGTGTTAAGGTTATAGGGGTTATGGTTAGGGTTTGGTTTAGGGGTTAAGGTTGATGTTAGGGATTAGGGGTTAGTGTTTGCATGGGTTAGATGCCGCGAATTTATCATATTGATAAATTCGGACGTGTTTAACAATTTACTCATATAGTAAATTCAAAGGTGTAGCTTGTGCTGATTAATGAAGATCGTGCATTCTTTTCCACTTGGAGGCAATATCTAACATCAGTGGAAATTTAGAACTCAGTTTTGACAATAAGCTAATTGAACCCTGAAGTTTACTCAAACTGTTAGCTATATTTGTCGTCATATATTGTAATTGAATATTTTAATGTGGAAACACTGGGTCGCATTTTAAAACATATTTAAAACAATGCTGCACAGTTTCTCTAGAATGAAACCTTTTTAGTGCAGCATTTGCCTGAAATCTCTGTTATCTCCTGAAAAATCAATTAATGAAATTAACGAATGTTCGCAATCATACCACTTATAGCCTAAAATTCTTCATCGTAATGTGGTATATAAAATTTATGTAGTCAGCAAGGGCATAATTAAAACCCAAGAATCAACTCCATTGTCGTGCATTTGCCTATTAAATATAGTGAGGTCGTTAATTGCACAACACACATGAATCATTTCGTCTAATACATTTTTTTTTCAGAACGATCCTGATTAGACAAGCTGAAATGAGTCAGAAATATCATTGGTTGTACTTCTTTATTCCATCCATTTTCCTGGCAAGTGCCCAACACCAAAACATATACATCCCTAGCTTTTGTTACGATGACAGGTATAAAGGTAAGAGCAAAAAATAGAATCTCTCGTCATGTTGACTTTGTTTCCGGGATACAATATTATATTGAGACCGTGTCTTAATGGTTTAATTAAAAATAATTACATTTGCAAAATATATAGCCCTCGGCAGCCTTCATATAGTGTTGACGTCAGGAACAACGTCATTTCATGCATCTGGCTCCCAATTGAAAGCTGAGAAAGTATGTATATTACTCCTCTGCGCTTTGAAAAACTAAGTCAGCGTGTTAAATTAATTTTAGTCAACTTTTTAGATTAAGGCTTATAATTAATCGTTATAATTAGTCGTTCACATTCCTGAGAAGCTTTAGACTATTGTGATTGTATTCATAACAATAGACAAGACAATGTCTTTCTTATCGTTCGCGTTTGCTGATATACATGTATTTGCTGATATGTATATACTAATTGCGACGAATACAGTCAAAATTGCTTGTATCTTTCTTCGGACAAGAAATGACGGAGCCTTGGGTTTTTTTAAAGAGCGTCCCCCCTAACAAGAAGAAGAAGAAGACGAGGAAGATTAGCAGCAATTGGGGACCAGTTCCTAGTCCAAAAACTTCACCACATCCTAAGGCCGTTCAGGCTCGTTTCTTGACAATGATTGTCTCGTCAATGGTATTCCCCGCCTGGTCTATATACAGCCTTCAAAATTTTGATTACTCGTCTTACACAGTTTACTCTTCGCTTTCTGAAGCGTCCATTATTTGTCAACGGTGACACTAATCTGCCTTCATCACCTAACGGCGCATTTGCGCTGTTGGGTAAAAAAAATTGGGCATTGCAGACATTATTTTTGAGCGGGACACTCTAAAACGTTTTCCTCCAGACACACACGCAAATCGACGGCTTATAATCACGCTGTTAGTTAAATATGTTTGTACCATGTATTCTAGATTCTAGACTAAATACGACCATTTTCACGGCTACACACGCTGCTGGACTGTTGGATTGCCTTATCGTATGTGACAAGGAACCATGTTGCAGATCAATCAACTTTAAAACGATTCCGAGTTCACACGATGACCAAAATTGTGAAATGCTACATAATCTTGTTTACAATACATCTGTGAAATGGCTGGAAACAAACGCCTATTTCAATCATGTTTATTTTACAAGCTCAAAAAAGGTGAGTTTGAAGAGTATATATATATATATATATATATATATATATATATATATATATATATATATATATATATATATATATATATATATATATATATATATATATATATATATACGGTATATATATGTATATATATATATATATATATATATATATATATATATATATATATATATATTATGGTTTCTTTAAAAATATATATGTACTCAGGTGAATAATTATGATGTCTGTGTGGATGCACACTCAGTGTAACATCACCAACATCATATTCACCTGAGTACATAACACCAACGCGCACAAAATGTCATATCTTAGAATGCATTGATATCGAAGGAACCAGATTCATTTCCGAAATATCACCAACTCGAACCGAATTGACTACGTAGGTCAGTTGACAGAGCATTGGAGTAGCATTGCAAAGGTCGCAGGTTCCATTCCCACCGTGGTCAGGTAAAACTTTTCAGCTTGCCCGGTGTGAATGCACACTCAGTGTAACATCACAAACATTAACGATAATGTTCCCCTTCTAGGAATACAATGCAAGCTGCTTAATTCCAAAAGGTTAGTAAATCAACGTTATCTCCATTTGCAATAATGTATAATGTGTTGAAAACGTATCAGGGCCTTTTTTAATAATTCGTCATTGGCATGGAGAGCGGCGAGTGGGCGGCTTCATGGAAAAAGGAGCTATTCATATATCTATACTCCGCCAGTAAAGAAGCAAGACTCTTAAATAACGAACGATAAGGCAGTGTCTTTTTTCAAAGCAATTCGTATTGTCGAAGTGCATGCAGTCACGTGAGTGCCTAGCGTTAAAACCGGAAGTTCCTATGTTTATGGTAATGTCAAGATATAATTACTGATGTAAATTAAACAAGATCAATATGTCATATATATCGCGTGTTCAACGAAAGATGAATGTTACTATGTTACCATAACTACAATATAAACAACTTACGTAGTACTTTATTCTCTAATATCCATAATAATCTGGAGACTGGCGTTTGCGTTGAGGGCCCTGAGTAGTGGTTGGGGAGGTGCTGTTGTCGGCTGGGATTGTTAATGTAGACGGAACGTTACTTGTCTGATATGGGCATTCTTCACAATCTTCTTCATCGGAACTGGAACTGTCACGACGGGGATACGGTGCACTCGACATTGACCGGTTTGGGACGATCATGCAATCAGTAGTTTCAACTTTATATGATGTAGCACGCATTTGATTGCCCAAAAATTTCCTGATGACACACCTTGGGTCTTCCACAGATATGACTAAATATCTACTGCGGGTTGTGTCTTATCTCGCTCAGCGACTAAATAAACCAAGTCCCCGTCGTTAATTGTAGTAGGAGATTCAGACCCATTCCTATTTCAGGTTTTCGATTTATCACTATACAAGCGGTTTTGTTTTCGTTGTAGATGTTGTTTTTGGATTACTTTGTGATCACATGCATATGGGAAGTTGATCATGAGTGAACTGTTCTCGCTGTGTCAAAGCTCGCGAGCCGAGAGTTCCTCCCTCCGGAGGCGGGAATTTAGTCCAGATTTTCCGATGGCAAGGGTAAAGGTCGATATTAGACCACAATTGGGTGCTTGGTGGAGGATCTTTCTTCGAGTTCATCGACAGGTCGGGACAATCAAATTGTATTTGGATCCAGGCAGATCGGGTTGTAAAATGTAAGCGGAAGAGGTGGTGTACGTCTTGGACGGAGGTGGACCGAACTACGGAATCTTCTGTGGTTGAAATGAAGTTACAGATTTGGCATTTTGGTTCATTACACTCTGGTGCGTTTTGACCGGCGAAATCCGAGGATACGTTCGCTGAGCCAGCGAGGTATTGTATGTCCGCTTGGCACCTCCTGACGATGGATAAAAATGACGTAACGCGAGGGCTCGCTAAAAATTCATCTCTACGCAGTTTGTCGATGGCTTGAACACTTGGCTTGCTATCAGCGAGGATACAAGCAAGGTGATGTAATTAGATTATGGAAGGGCTAAAGTGCTTCACGGCGGCAGCGATGCTTAATGTTTTAATCTCACATCGCAGCCAGTTCACCTGATGCCTTCGTAACTTGCAATTAAAAATCAAACGAGGAGGAGGATTTAATGATGTGATACGCAAAGGGTAGCTCCGATTCCTCTTTTGGTTTCAGGGCCATGCATCAGTTACGTACTATCCATAGTTTGTCGTATAGCTTGGGAGGGTAATAGATTTGTTATTAGCCCGGGATGTTTGAGCGAACTTGAAGCGTTGGGACCGGGTATCTGACTCACTTGATCTTGTCACATAATTGTTGTCCCGCGATGGCACTTTCTAATGGTGGTAAACATTTCCGAGAACTTTGTAGGCTCCAATAAAAGACCGAAGACCACTACCGTATCGGGAGGCGGACACGATGACCTTGTAGCAATTCTGTGTGTGCTTGCATGCGATAGGCATCCCTGTGTGCCAAATAATGGTTATAGATGGAGAAAGCTTGATATTGCACTTTTGTAGGCCATCTAGGATCCTCTTCCAGTTGATGAGCAGTTCCGCAGTACAAGTCGTCGGCACGCTTTCCAGCGATTCCATCTTCTAGGCAATCACCGAGTATGGGACACATGAGCTCGTCGAGGGCTGTTTCTGACCCTGGCATGCCCACACCTGATCGGGTGTAGACTCGAACGCCACGGAATGAAACTACAACGCCACCGTTCTTCATGGAACCTTTAGCAAGAGGTATCTGACATTAAGTGCTGGTAAGGTCAGATGCGATGATGTACTTCCATTTGGCGATTGTTTGGAGGGTAGAGAGATGGCTGCGATTTGCTGCTGTGTCGAACAACATCACCAAAGGCAGTGACTAGTCGGTGTCTTCCACTCCACTTTTTAATGAGGAATGATGGATTATGGTATTCCACGGTTATGCCAAGGTTTTCAGGGGCCTGAAAAATACCTAGCGATTCCGATCAAGCTTATCAAATTTGTGTCCAAGGTCCACCAGCCTGCATGTTCGGCGCGCATTGGGAGAGTCTGCATTCGCGTTTTTATAAAAATATCGTCATATTCATTAATTAACTAACCGGCTGAATTAGGAGTGCATGCTCTTTGATAGGATAGAATCAGGGTCTAGCTGGACAGATAAGAAATGTTCATGGGTGTAGGAGAGGATGGTGCTACTAAGTTGACGTACCTGACGTATATATATATATATATATATATATATATATATATATATATATATATATATATATATATATATATATAAAGCTGAGAAAGCTCACATCCCTTGTTGTCGTTTGACCACTCTGGCCCCATTACGCTCTGCGCATGTCTGGGTTCGTTGAGTCAACGTGAGAGAAAGTTCATGGGATGTAAATACGAGTGTCTCACGTATCTAGACGTGTGCCAAGCTGCACTGACGAGGCGTAGAACGCCGAAACATGGATGTCTGCAGATTGTACGATATATATATATATATATATATATATATATATATATATATATATATATATATATATATATATATATATATATATATATATATATATATATATATATATATATATATATATATATGTATATATATATATGTATGTATATATATGTATGTATATACAGCTAAATCGATTAAGGTTCTCTTCTCAAAATTGTAAAATCTAAAATATATGACCCAAATGCGTCATGGGCGTACGGGGGATTGCATGGGATTCGATAGGATTACCGGCTTCGGAATATAATCGCTCGTGGATGGTAAATAATACTACGCAAATTCTTTTCTCAGCTTTATTCATTTCACGGCAGTCTTGAACCTGCAGTATACAAAGACGAAATGTGTAGGACACACCGCTGGACCGAAATATAGTTATGCAGATTCTTTAACATTCAAGCCATAAATACTTTAACACCTTTCTGTCAATTATATTCTAGTTCGGAATATGTATTTTGCGGTTTTAAACAGGGAACATTTCTTGTAGATTAATTGTTTTGTTTACGACCTGTATACAACTTGGCCGTCTCCGTTTGATTGATGCGTATATGTGATGCATGTATATTTATAAAGTGAATACGTAGCTGTGGTAGATTTTTAACTAGAATAGGAATTTTTCGCGTGCTTCTCCCCATGTCATACCGCATATTTTACCTGCAAATTATTTCCTCTGAATGCATTCACGAGAGTAAATCCAGGCGAAGCGAAGATGGAGTTGATAATCTATTGTATTTAACGGACGCGCGTATATATGACCGGCAACTCTTGTCCACTCTCCTCGCGCAAGTATACTAGTTGAGAGAATTTGTTTACAAGCTCTATAACTTGCTAGCTGCATGCCATTCTCGTAGTAAGAGGGCGCCGCTTTATTTACTAATGCTAATCAATTCGACTGTTTGTACGACACCGCGAAGTTAGAACAGAATTCTGGGTCGTTCAGCATACTACAGGGTATATATATATATATATATATATATATATATATATATATATATATATATACAGTGGCGTAGTTAGCGGTCCCGCTGTCCGCCGGGCGGGACTAACAATTTCCAAAAAAATGTGTAAATGTTTTATAGTGAAGCCAAAACCACTGCTAATTTGCTTATTCTGAAAATTTAAATATAATTATGGTAATTTTTCAGCGCTTTCATTTGTCATTTATTTAAAGTTTACGCAATATTGCTGTCTGCTCTTTGACCTCTTTGTTGTCTAGTATTAACTGATATTCTGTAGAATTAGCTAATTTCCACGCAATTTATTGCTTACTCGCGCTATTCGTGAATCGCATGTCTCGTGTTCCGCTGATTTTCATGTGGCGGGATACGCAATACTATCTTATACAAGAAATTCTGGTTTCTGGTTGGATAATTGGCGCAGCGCATGCCCAGAACGGTTGTTTTTAATGCCGAAGTCCCGCTATTTTATGAAGGCGGAGGTTGTTAATATTAAAACCTTTCTGACGAAGCTTTCTGCGCGAGTATTCACGACTGTGACGGTGGTAGGTCATCATATTACTATTCATATCATATTTGATGTTGCTTTTGTGATTTGTATACAATGGCTTCAACGAGCGTGACGAGCCTTATGGAAAGCCACAGCGGAATTTCATTTCATTCGTTGCTTTTAGCATTATATATGTGGTGCTTTTATCGTTATACGAGGTGCTCTTTACATTATACGCGGTGCTACACTTCGAGTTCGAGCATTATACGCGACGATTTTGACATATATCAAGATATATGGGCTACACGCAACATTGTACGAGGTGCTTTTAACATTATACGTGGTGCTTGAGACATTTATTTTTAATAATATACGCGGTGTTTGAGACATACGAGGTGCTTTTAGCATTATACGCGGTGGTTGAGACATTATACGCGGTCGGTATAACGTTATACGCAGTACTCAGTGTAGAAGGCAATATTTTTGCCTAGCACAGCACTTCTCTGAGCTCACACAGATCTTCTCTGGGCCAGATGGCATTTTTTGTATTTTACGAAGCGAAAATAGTCCTGTTAGAGGTGTATGGAAACTTTGTTTAGTGGCATCCTTCCACCCTCGAAATCGCAGGAAATGCCATTTCCGCGGTTCTAGATTTCAAATTTTCTCGGGGGGGCATGCCCCCGAACTCCTCTAGGAAGGTCGCACCTTCGGTGCGAGGGGTCCGCCTTCGGCGGGACGATTATTTTCAGCCAGCTACGCCACTGTATATATATATATATATATATATATATATATATATATATATATATATATATATATATATATATATATATATATATATATATATATATATATATATATATATATATAAATACAGGGTGTATCAAAAAAAGCGCAATCCTCGACTGAAATGTAAATTGCTAAACAAATAATACACGAAAACGTTAAAGTTTACATTCATTTTAAAGCGTAGCCATTCAGCTTTCTAACAGTGGGTTGTTTCTTAAATTTGACTCATTGGTTCGCGGGTAATAACACTTTACGTTATTGCGATTGGAGATTAAAAAAATTGAGATGGAATAACAAATCGTTCTCATAAAAATAACTGATTTTTTCATTAAAACAAAAAAATGTTACATTTTATTAAATGGATTGTAACAATAATATAATTACTGCTTTGCTTCAACTATTTTTAACTCAGTTTGAAACTTCAAATGCGATATAATTTTGGCTTGGACCATCTAAGCTGACTGACATCAACTTGCTATAATTTCTGTTTACATTGCATCGCAATTTGATGACACTCTGGCTCAGACACCAGAATGTTTTGACGATTTTTAGCATTCGTTTAGGATTTTCAAACAACCTGGTCTCTTTTAAAATACTTTTAATTTGTTCTTACGTGGTTTTCCAGATGTAGTGACGACAACATTAAAGTTTAAAGAAGAACATTCTAACATTTAAACCGACTAAACAATAACATAGTAAACTTGCATAATTAAACAGCAACTAAAAATGATAGGTTTACTAAATCTTTTCTTGTGCAATTATTACTAGCATTGGAGACAAGGATAATAGTTTGTTTGAAAGAGAAAACAACAGGCTTTAAAGTAAGCCTAAAAGCGTTTAACAAGATATAGTATTTCGAAAGTTATTGAGCACAAAAGATGAATTGCGTTTATTTTGATACACCCTGTATATATATATATATATATATATATATATATATATATATATATATATATATATATATATATATATATATATATATATATATATATATATTATTAAAAATTTTATTTCAACACGGTAATTACATCAAAGAGAAAACATATTTACATATTTACATCCTTGTTCCTCCCGTTAGCCGTGCATGCAATTTAATTATATGAAATATATATATATATATATATATATATATATATATATATATATATATATATATATAATATAATAAGGATTTTAAACAAATGTGTAATGAATATTGCAAATATCTGACGGATTGTGGGTATGATAGTGAGCACGTTCTTAAAATATTTAACGAAAGCGGGAGCATGACACGCCAGCAAGCGCGTAGGAGTAAACGTGGGAACAAGGGTAGACCTTGCGCTTTTGTTAGCAAGTTTAATCATCGGGCGCCTGATATTAGTAAAATAATTCGTAAACAAAGAAATATTATCGATAACGATGAGTGAGCTAGACAAATTCTGCCGGATGGTGGTATTCGTGTTTCCTATAAAAGATCAAGCTATTTAAAGGAGTTGCTAGCTCCCTAGAACCCTTTCAGAACTAGGGAGCTTACGGGAGAAGGTTGCTGTGCATGCACCGTCAAGAGGTGTGTGATTGTTGTAAAAGCTTCCTCACCCCCCCAGCGGGTCTTTTCGTTCCACCGCCACTGGTAGGTCGTATAATATTTGTAAGTCTCTTACATGTACTTCGCACTATGTTGTTTATCTTGCCCATTCGCAAATTACAAGTCACATATTAAGCACAAGAAATGAACGTGTGGTATGTCAAATCACGTGATCGTCATGGTAGGGATCATTCA